TTAGGGTAAAAAAAATACTTCAACTCATTAATTATTGCTAATACAATATTCGACCAATACACTTCCTCTCCATGTCCCCAACCAAATGTTGTCGGCCCTGACTTGGAGAAGAGAAGTTGGAAAGTTGTTTAGGTTGGGTGGGGCGTCAAGAAAAGCTGAAAGAAGGAACCGATGGAGATGAACAGAGGAGGATATTTGATTTTGGTACTTTTTCTTTTTGAACATCAAAACATCTAGCAACAAAATGAAATAATCTGAAGAGTGAGGATTTCATCAGGTGGATTCCTACATGAGTCTTTGATTGCCACTTTGGAAAAAGTTTTGATTGACTGTGTTGAAGATGGATGGAGAACCGGAGAAGAAAGGCTGGGAAAGAGAGAGAAGGCAGGAGAGAGAAATGAGGAAATGAAAAGGAGAAATAAAATAATGAACCGACTATAGTCGGTTCCCAGTTTAGATGTCAAATTCGGTGACTACGTGGCAGCATGACATGGAGGGTGCTGGAGCGAGTGACGAAGGGCGATTGCCTTTAGCATTCCTCTTATTTATTTATGTTCAATATTAAATAAAATCAATGATGACAATAAGCATATTACAACACCGTTCATATTGCCAACTGTCTCCTTTATCATTTTTTATACACTAAGAAATTGATAAATTCACAAAAATTGTTGATAACAATCAACACATGTCGGTATAGGCATTTTTATCATTTCTTTTCACTTGGCGAAGTGTACGAATCAACGTGCATTCATTCCTTTTAAAGAAAAAGTTTATTTTATTCTATTTTGCAGTTTATGTTATGATGAAAGAAATGTTAGTTTTGTCGTAGTTCGAAATGAAAGCTTGTGATTTTACAATTATTCTGTTTATTTGACCTGAGAAAATAATTGGCTAAGTGCATGCAATTCATATTTTCACTTTGAAGGTGGAAATGTGAGTGAGGTTCCAGTCATAAGGATTTATGGCTTCAAATGGTGTCATGTACGTGCCTTCTGAGGTAATCTTATTATTAGTTCTCATTTCTGCATTCTGAGGATTTATGAATTTTTAGTGAATGCTGTATGCATTCTGTATTGAACTTTGCTGAAGTGGAATAACATTGGCAGTGTTAATGAAAGTTGATGGTACTGGATGACATTGGCTGATAGTCTAAGCAGTTAGGAAAGTTGCATGCGGGGAGCAACAGGAAAAGTTACAAATTTTTAAATGCACTAAACTATTTAATATTTGTTTGCATGTTGGTCAAGATATCCCCTCTCTGATTTTCTTATCAAATTCATGCATTCCAGTTTAGCTCTAATAACTAATGTTCTCTGGCTGCTTCGGTAGGTGGGTCAAAACTGACCTAAGTCCCTCACCAATCATGAAAGAACTCCCTTTCATTTTCATAATATTTAATAATTAGGAAAACAAGGAAAAATAAAAATAGAGTGAAAACCATGGTCTTTGCTTCTTTTGATTGCAGGCTCGTTAAGGGTGCGCTACAGCTGCCTCAATTATTGGAAGAAATATTATCAACCTGAGTAATGATGAAACAAGACATGAAAAAGTTGAATCCTTCGCTGCAAGTGCTCAGTTATGGCTGTCCTCCAGAATTTCCATTTTTACAAAAGAAATTAAACTTTTTTTTCTCTCTTTTGTATTAAACTCTATGATATTAAAAAATTATATTAAATTATAATTAATTAAAAATCAAATCGAATCGAATTATATTTTTCAAAAAAA